TAAGAGTTGGGTGCTTGGGCTCAGCTGCTTGGTCCACGGCTGTCCCCAGGGCGGGGGTCTCTTCTCTGGGAGCGTCCTGTTTTGGGGCTGCGCATGCCTGTGGGGTTTGCCTGTCTCCTGCCTCCTCTCCGGAGACACGGTGTCAGATACCGTCTCGGCACCACCGGCAGCCCCTGAACAGCTGGAAACTCCCCTGCCTGCGATTTGGGGCAAGAGCGCACCATTCCTTGCGTCCACTGATCTGGACAAGGGAGGCCCCGTCCCTGCCCGGCTCCGGTCACGGGGGGAGTTGGCTCGACTCCTTTGCCCCTGTCAGGCACCCAAGAAACTCAGCTTGTGGAGGAGCACCAGGTGACCGCCAGGGAGGAGGAGCGGGTCCGAAGCCTTCCTGTCTGTGCCGCGTGCCGGCCCTGACGCCGGGCGCTCCTGGCCACTCCTCCTCATGCTCTCCTGAGCCAGACAGGATTGAGACCGAAGTGAGGAGACCTCACTTTTTGGAAAATTTATTTTCCTGAGCTTAAAAAAGAAAAAAAAATTCAAACCCAATGCTCTTTTTTTTTTTTTTTTTTTGGTAACTCTTCGTTTTAAAATACAAAAGCAATTTTTTTTCTTTTTAGTGTTTGTTTTTGAGGGAGGGCACGAGTCAGAGAGGGGCAGAGAGGGGGACAGAGGACCAGAAGCAGGCTCTGCGTTGACAGCGTGAGCCGGACGTGGGGCTTGAACTCACGAACCGTGAGATCATGACCTGCGCCGAAGTCGGACGCCCAACCGACCGAGCCACCCAGGTGTTCCTGAGATACAAAACCATGTTAATCGAGCAGATTCTTCATTAATGCCTGCTTGAGGCAGAGCCCTGGAGAGTACACAGGTGAAGAAAAGCATGATGCTTCACAGGGGAGCCTAGAGAAATTACCCATTTCCGGTGTGTTAAACAAAGTAGCCGAGGACCCTGGAGTGCAGTGACGTGATCCCAGAGCCACATGACAGACACTCAAAGTTCTGGGTCCTAGGTGTTGATTCTTTGAATCTTCCCTCCTGGCCTATCACGATCCGGGCTAAAACTTAGGTTCCAACACGTTACAAATAACACTGGACGACGTTCAACTCTGATTCGAAGTATGATCTTCTCTTCATAAAATACGGCTATGAGTTGATTTGGTAGCACACGTGAGCCAGGGTATCACACTCCGAGTGTCCACAGATAACCTCCCAGGTTGTCGCTCGGAGCAGGCTGGACGCCAGCCCCTGCCCTCGGGCCTTTACTGCCAGGACCCGCCCCACTGGCGGCTCAGCCTGGGGGCACGTGCACGGCTTCAGAGGGTCCCTGGCTCTGAAAATAGCACGTCGGGTTTGCATACATACGCAGGGTCTGCGGCTTTGGTGGGAGTCCTGGAGTGGTCCTCGAGCTAACAGAGGTTGAGTAGTACCAGCCTAGATCCTTGAGAGACTCTGTGAAGCTGCCAGGCTTGTAGAAATGAACAGTCGGCTTAAGATTAAGACCACGTCAGTACACGGAGTAGCGGTACAGCTTTCTCACGGATGTGAACGAGAAGTTGCTGGCGTGCCTTCCAGAGCAAGTAGCGGATGAAGTAAAGGGAAGCACGCTTCTTGGAGTGTGAGAGGATGTTGGGAAGTCGGGTGAAGCTACCAGAGCAGCTCCAGTGCCCTGCATGGGGCAGGAGAGCTGGGAGGGGCTGCGCCAGCCAGGCGGTTCCCCTGCGCGGCCCTGACTCTCTGTCTTGCACCCTCGGGCAGCCCTGCCCGTCCAGGCCCCGGCCAGCGACTCCTGGACTAAAGCCGCAACTGCCTTCAACAGCGCCGAGCCTGGCTCCGCCGAGGTGAGTGACCACTGAGCCACTCGCGGGCAGCGCGCGAGCCCACCGCCCCCGTGGCCGGCTCGTCCTGGGCCTCGTGCACCCTTGCCCAGCCCAGCTCTTCCTCGCCGTGCCGATGAGCCTGGCCCAGAGCCTGATTCCACTGGCCCTGGCTTGGCGCTGGTCTTTGTTCCTGACTTCTGGGGAGGGTGGGCGACCAGGCCCGTGGTGGCAGTCGCCCTGTCTGACCTGGCCACAAGGGAATGAGCTTGGCGGCCCCGTCCCTGGCGCCCATTGCATACCGTGGTTTTTTTGATCACGTCTTCAGTTGCTGGGTACTGTTGGCGGGTCAGGGCCCAAGTCAGGACAGGGCTAAAAAGGACAGGCTTACGGGGGGTGTGTCTCAGCCACGCACTTGGTCCCACTTCCTGGGCAGTCCCGTGTTGGAGTCTGGGGGTCAGGGTTCTCACCCGTTTTGTGCCTTGCACAGCAGGGTTTTAAGAGCAGCCAGGGGGATAGCGGCGTTGACCTGAGCGCCGAGTCTCGGGAGTCGTCTGCAACATCCTCCCAGCGCAGCTCCCCGTATGGCACTCTGAAGCCGGAGGACATGAACGGGCCTGGCCTGGAGCCCAAGGCTGACGGCCACAAGGAGCAGGCCCAGAAGCAGCCCGAGCCAAAGGTCAGCTGGAAGTCCCTCCGTGGAGGCCTGGGCCGGGGACTGCCGTCCCTTGTCTTCTCCCCTCTTCCTGGTGCTCAGAAGCTTGGGACTGGGGTCCTTCCAGCCCGTGTTTCTCAGCATCTCTGGTTTTCTATCAAGGACTCAGATCAAGGCTCAGGACAGAGCAAGGAGCACAGACCGGGACCCATTGGCAATGAGCGCTCTCTGAAAAACAGGAAGGGCTCAGAGGGGGCCGAGCGGCTGCAGGGAGCCGTCGTCCCGCCCGTTAACGGGGTGGAGATTCACGTGGACTCTGTGCTGCCGGTGCCGCCCATTGAATTTGGAGTCAATCCAAAAGTGAGGCTTGGATGTGTTTCTTTCCCACCCCCCAACCCCCCTCACGAGTCCCCCGTGGTTTTGAACTTGGAGAGGGAGGGGAGGTGCTGAGACGGGGCTGTCACCTAGAAAGAGCCGGGGGACAGAAGCCGAGCAGCTCTCTGGTGGAGTGTGTCAGCCTGCAGGATGAGGCAGGTGCCACTGAGCTGCCTTCTAGATTATGCTGACACCAGCCAGGTTCTCAGGCTGGGCAGACTAGTGATCTTCACTGTCTCTTTCGGGATTGGCCAGTGGGCATAGGCAGGGAGCACGGAGGGAGGGTCATGGGGTGGCGTCCTTTTTTGGGTGCTATCTGGTGGACACTGCCCACTAGATTTCTTGAGTCTTGGAGACCGGATCAAATTAATGTGTGCCTCTTCTGAGAAGCGGGCAGATGATTTCAGTGAGCTCTTCCTTCTCTTCAGGACTCGGATTTCAGCTTGCCACCTGGCTCTGCCTCTGGTCCCGCAGGGAATCCGGTCGTCAAACTTCAGGACGCCTTGGCCAGTAACGTGAGTGTGTGTTTCCCTCTGTTTCTTGTGCTGGCAGGCCCTGGAGAGAAAGGAGCAAGGCTTCTGGGGGGCTCTGAAGCCAGAGGAGGGGGCCAACACCAGCTTTGGGGTCAGGCAGACCTGGGTGCGTGGCACAACGCGTTCTCTAGCTGGTTACGTGTCCTCGGGCATGTTGCGTAAATGTCCTGTGCCCCGGTTTTGTGAACTTCTCAGGTCCGGGTTATTTGACGTTCTGTGGTTATGTATGTTTGGTAGTGCTGGGATAAACCAACGTGTTTACTCAGAATCCCTCTGATACGCTGAGGGGCACTGGGCACACATGGGAGGGTCTGTTGGCCACATGTGTGAAGAAACGTTACCAGGGACCTCGTTCAGTTTCCGGTGGAGGGCGGAGACGGGACCTGGGGGTCTCCACGCCAGGCATCGGCGCCTCTGTGCTGGCAGCCGGTCGTGCCTGGCGCGGCCGCCCCTGCCCGAGTGCTCCGTGGGCTGTGGGTGTGCAGGTGGCTCTCCACAGACTTCTGTTGAGAGAATCGGGGAAGACCACCGACCGGAGCAGATCAGCTTGGGTGTCTGCTCCCGGCAGGTTCACCGTAGGGGTCTTGAGCGCCCGCGGGCAAAACCAAAGGTGCGTTTTGCTCTGCTGTCATGTTGGCCCTGTGCCTGTCGTGTTCCATGGTCTCCTTTCCCCTTCCAGGCTGGGTTAACACAAAGTATTCCCATCCTCCGGCGTGATCATCACATCCAGAGGGCCATCGGCCTCTCCCAAATGTCCTTCCCCACCGCCGACCTCACCCTGAAGGTAACGCCAGGCCGGCGCTAGGCGAAGGCTGCGGGGCGCCTTAGCTTGCCGAGGGCTGGAGCACGCAGCCCCGCCCTCCCACCCGCCCATCCTGGGGCCTCGATCTGTGCCGTCCCCCGCCTTCTTGGAAGTGATTCTTCCCTCCCCTTGCTTTCCAGATGGAGTCCGCACGCAAGGCTTGGGAAAATTCACCCAGTTTGCCAGAGCAGAGCTCCCCGGGAGGCGCGGGCTCGGGAATCCAGCCCCCGTCCTCTGTGGGCGCCTCCAACGGCGTCAGCTACAGCTCGTTCGGCGGAGTTTCCATGCCGCCCATGCCCGTGGCCTCCGTAGCACCCTCTGCTTCTCTTCCAGGTATCTCCTCCCTCACCTGAACCAGCTCAGGGAGGCTCCCTTCGCTGTCAGGAGAAAAGTGGTGCTGGCCCTGAGCGCCTCCCCCTACCCTGACTTGAGTGTGCAAAAGTAGGAGCTTGTTGATGGGCCGGGTGGTCCTGGCCTCCCAGGTGCTACAGACCCCTGGCCCTCCCCTCTACCCTGCGTCCCTTCTGTGGTGTGGGAAGCAGACCAGGGGCAAGCGGAGACAGGGCTTGGAGTCAGAGCCGGGTCACATGCAGGGGCTGTGTCCTCTCCGCCTTCAAGTGGCTCAGCCCTCCAGGCCACGGCCCCTTCCTTCCTCTGTGAGATACACCTGGCTCTCTCTGGGCTGGTAGCTGGTGACACAGAGTCAATCTGCAAAGTGCTTCGTGTCAGCCAAGCCCTCACAGGTGGCCCATCAGCGGTAGACCGCTGTGTTGGTGCCCCCAAGGGAGAGGGCAGGAGTTTTGAGGGCCCAGCTGCCAGGGTCTCGATGGCATTTCCAGTGGACCATTCTGCCCTCCACCGTGGACTCCGTGCAGGGAGACAGAGGAGTAGGGGGCTGAGACCAGGGCTGCCTGAGCTGCAGTGGAGCCCCTCCCCAGGGTGTGGTTCAGTGGGCCCGGGGTCTGGTGAGCGAGGTCAGTTGTCCACCCCCCTGGGCCCGTGTTCCCCTGGGGGCGAGCAAGTGTGGGGCTGTGGGGCGCAGGGCCAGCAGCAGGGGACCGAGCAGGCTCTGCACACACTCCGTCCCTCCCACTGATTCCCCAGGAAAGTGTGCGTGCGTGGACGTTCAGGAAGGGTGAGGCTTGACTCTGTCCTGTCTGTTCTCGGGTTCTGTTTGCAGGCAGCCACTTGCCACCTCTGTACCTGGACGGCCACGTGTTTGCAGGTCAGCCTCGGCTGGTTCCTCAGACGATACCTCAGCAGCAGAGTTACCAGCAGGTGATGACAGCTGGACGGGTGGCCCCGCGGGGGATGGGGACGCAGCACACGGTGGAATTAATTTCCCTTCTCGACCTGTTTACTGTCTTGTTTCTGTGTCCCCTCACGTGGACCGCCCAGCACCCAGCCCATCCTAGCAGGCAGGAAATGTTTGGTGAATGAACACAGGAGAGGCAGGGAAGAGGAATGGAGCTTGGCACTCTAGACTCCTAGATCCCCTCTGTCAGTTCCTCCTGTGTCCTAGCTGGGGAATTAGCTGAAATGGAATTCTCTTTGGTATCCTTTGGTATCAGGTATCCTTCTGATGAAGAGAAGAAAGGCCTAGACTCCCAGGCATGGATGCGTTAGAAAGAGGTAGTTTTAGAAATGTGCAGGTGTTTGTTTTCGTGCAGGATGGGCGTATTTTCTGTGCTGCAAGGGGCAGAGTTCTGGAAGTCTCCCTCCTGAACCTGGTGTGGGGCCTTTGATGGTCTGGCACCCCACGGACCTGTGTGCCTGGATGGTGGGGCCCTTGGGCAGAAGTAGATTTGGGGACAGAGAACAGAGGACTTGGCCTGTCCTGATCTCTTTATGAAACCTGTTCTTAAACATTACGTTGTTGAGATTTATGATGTATCGATGTTCACCTAACCGGATCATACTGAATGTAGTTTTCGTGTATGTTTCCCGTTGACAGGTGCATGCTGAAATGCACCTCTGTGGACAGCTGTAGCCAGAATTCGTTCTTGCTGTTGTATAGAACCCAGCGTAGGAAATCATGGTTTGGGGTTGTTACCCAGTTTTTGCCTTTTCCCCAAGAGCGAGGAAAGCACCGGAAGGCCATGCTCCAGTTTGCATTTGGGGCAGTGTTCCAGCTGCTGCGTGGAGCAGGGGGTGTGGCGGGGGGCAGACACCCACCCTGGAGGGCACTGCGGTTACCTGCCTGGCTTCCCACCGCAGGCTGCCGCTGCCCAGCAGATCCCGATTTCCCTTCACACGTCTCTGCAGGCTCAGGCCCAGCTTGGACTGAGGGGCGGGCTCCCCGTCTCCCAGTCTCAGGAGATCTTCAGCTCCTTACAGCCCTTCAGGTGAGGTGCAGCCAGAAGCTCAGGCCCCCGCGGCCCGTGGACGTGCCCCTCTGGACTGTTGCCGCTCCACAATTCTCCGCTCGGCGGTGGGTCGGGGGCGTGGTGGTCTCGGCACTGCAGAGTCGTCATTAACCGGCTGCAGGAGCTGCCGTGGGCTTGATAGCACTCGATGGATGGCCTTGTTTTTCCTTTCCCTGTCACCCTACCCCTCCTGAGCCCCTCCTCTTCCCATCTCCCACCACCCTCGGTGGGCTCTTCCCACGCAGCTGAGGTCCTGCGCTTTTGGCGTCCCCTGGGTTTTCCCGTGCCTTGTACAGCCTGGATGATTTCGCTCGTGTAATCGAGTGACGCTCAGACTGCGGTCTCTAGACCTGCAGCATCAGCACCATCTAGGAGCTTGTCATAAATGCAAGTCCTCAGGCTCTGTCCCAGGCACTTCTGAGTCAGAAACTCTGAGGGCGAGGCCGGCAGTGTGGGTTTTAGCAAGCCCTCTGGGGGATGGTGGGGTGTGCCCTCATTTGAGACCCCCCCGGTGTAGTCCTGCACCCGACCCACTGTCCGTCTGGCTTTTGCAGGTCTCAGGTGTACATGCACCCCAGCCTGTCACCGCCCAGCACCATGATCCTCTCTGGAGGCACGGCCCTGAAGCCTCCCTACTCGGCCTTCCCAGGCATGCAGCCCTTGGAGATGGTGAAGCCCCAGTCCGGCTCCCCCTACCAGCCCATGAGCGGAAACCAAGCCCTGGTCTACGAGGGCCAGCTCGGCCAGGCTGCTGGCCTGGGTGCCTCGCAGCTGTTGGACTCCCAGCTTCCACAGGTCGGGGATTCAGCCCCTCTCGCCCAAAACACGGGGCTTTCTTCTTCCACCATGGCTTTCTCCCTCGTATCTGCCTCTCGCCGCGTGCTGACTTGCATGCTGTTTGCGACCATTGGGACTGGTCCTCGGGCCGCTAGAACCGGGGCCAGGTCTCCCACCTCATGTGCCTATCCCAAGAGTGCTGCTTCTCCCACGGCTTCTCTCCCGCCCTCAACCTGGGGGGCTTGGAGATGAGGTGCGCGCGTCCTCCTGGCATTCCCACCGATGCTTCTAGGCCGCTGTCCCTCCCTTCTCCCTGAAACCCCAGCTCTGGAGCCCATAGTGTTGACTACCGCACCAGCCTCCGTGTTGCTGTGAGTCCATATTTTGAATCCAGCATTTGGCTTCGTGTCATCCTCTCCCATGACCGCCCGCAATATCAGACACCTCCGGGGGTCACCCCTCTCCTCCTTTGGCCCCTGGCCCAGTCTCTGCGACACAGCTCCTGTGACAGCTGCTGGTGGTTTCGATGTCTGCGTAGATGATACGTCGTCTCTGTACGCACAGGCCCCCTTGCCTCCAGCGGTCCGCTGTGCCCATGATCCTGTCTGCACTGGTCACTGCTAGAAACTGTACCTCTTTCTTTATCTCAAGATTAAGGGTCCTACCCAGTCACCGCCTCTGCTTTCTTAGCTCTTTCCCTCTAGCCACCCGGCTCCAGCCACCTTTTTATCACCTTCCCCCTATGGGCTCACTTCCTTCTCTGCTCACTTCCTCTCTTCTCTGGGCCCCCCTGCGGTGTTTCCACCTTGGTGGAGTCCAGTCCCGCCTTTGCACAACTGTGTGTGCCGGGAGACAGGCCCGGTCCCTCCCCGCCGCCCCGGCACCCGCTCCTGACTTGGAGCTTCCTCCTCACCACCTTCCACCCGTCTGCATCTTGCTTACGGTGTCCCTAGAGAAACGAGATCTCGTGTCGGGTCTCCTGTCACAAGGGTTGGGCTAGTCATGCCCGGGAGAGGCCCCCTCACCCCCCGTCCCTTCCAGCCAGCCTCCTGCTCGCTCCTACAGCACATGTCCCGTCAGCACACAGACGAGCTGCTCGCAGGGCCACCTTCTGGGGAGGAGGGTCCTCCGGATTATACCCAGACAACCCTATTGTTCCTCCTTTGAAAAAAAAAACAACAACAAAATTGTGTAAGCACACGCATCAGTTCCCGATGGTTATTCTTTGCTCTCGTCCTGCTGCCCTGTCGGCCACACTTGACCCAGAGATGCTCGTTCCCCCAGAGTCCAGTTCTTCACTCCGTTCACGGGCACCATCCTGGCGAAACCCTCCTCGTTACCCGCCTGGTCTGTGGTTTCTCCGTGTCCCGTGGGCTCTGCTCTCCGACCCCTGTCTAGCCCTGTGGCTCTACGTCCCATCCAAACCTGTCTTCCTGCTGCCCCCCCAGCTGTGTTCTGCAGCCCGTGGGCTACGCGTCGCCTCTGCTCTGGCGTCTTGCGGCATCTCCTGCGTGACACATGCTGGCACCATGTCCAAGACCTGAGTTCTCCTGGTCCTCCTGGCTGTCGTGTCCGTGTCCCCTGTAGGTCCCCACTTCCCCTTGCGCCTCCTCTGATCCTTCCGCAGGGGTCCTGTTGGCCCTACCTGTGGAAAGCATTCCGAATCCAGCCATGCCTCATCCCCGCCCTCCACCTTCCTCCCCATCCGGGCTCCTGTGGGGGCTCCTCCCTGATCTCCCACCTCTGCTCTTGGGCCTGACCGTCTGTTCTCAACACACCAGCCAGGGTGCCCCCGTGACACAAGTCTCCCGAAATACAGCGCTGCCCTCCTCCTCGTCCCGCTCCCTGCTGTGTGCAGGGAGGAGTCTGGGGTCTGGAGGCTCTGGCTGCTGCTCGTCTCAGTGATGCGATTCCAATAGATCCTTCTGACCCTCCACTGTGGACTCAACGCAGGGGGTGAAGAGGAAAGTGACTGAGAGACGACAAGTGGCTTCCTTGCGCCAGTCCCGAGTCTCCAGGCCCCTCTCCTCCCTGTCACCCCCCCCACCCCCACTTTCTTTTGATGTAACGGCCTTCAGAAGGATCCAGAGTCTCCAGTTCAGTTCCAGAACCCCTGAACCCCAGAACCCAGTTGTGTCTTGTTTTGTATCACCATTAGAGCAACAGCAAAGCAACAGAGGAGTTTTGCCTTTTTGTGCTGCACCAAAGAGGCCAGAGATACACATCCACACAGCTTTCGTCTCTGGGGGCTCACTTGGACGTTGCTTCCTAAGAAGCCTTCCTGACCTTCCCTTCCTCTTCCCCATCCCCCACGCACATGGGGTTTGCTGCCCACATTCCACATGCTGGGTCCTTGCTGCTCCCTGGTCTGACCATGTCCTGGTGCTTCCCCGGCACGTAACGGGCACTGAGCAGACCCTGGCTGGGTGCGAGCAAGAAGGTGTGGGGTGCACGTGGCTCTTGCAGCCCTAGAGAGGAGCCGCGTGCGTGGCCTTGGGCTTATCTTCACCCCCTGCCTTGTTCCGGCGATCAGACCTGCCCCTCCCTCAGAGGGTGTGCTCGAACAGAAACCCAGAACCTACGGCTGCGCAGAGGCCTCTCTTTAGCTGTCTTGAGACGAGAACCTGAAGCATAATCTGTGTTTACCCTTGGGGGCAGGTGTGCCCAGTAGTCTGTGGCTTTCTCCCCAACGTCCATGCCGCCTCTTGACTGTCCCTGTCATCCAGCAGCTGACGATGCCGCTGCCTGGCTCCCAGCT